ATATCTAAATGATATGGAGCAGAGATTTTTCATAATCAATACAGAAAATTATAAAACAGAAAAAACTAAAATGAACTGTATGTTGAATTGGAATTAAAAATGGATTTTAATATGCATCGATATGAAAAATAGATGCAAATGTGTATGCATACATATATTGCCTGCAGTACTGATAATCTTAAAACACAGGTTGTAGTCTCTAAAAGCCATCTTCCACTAAATGGAACCAGAGCTTATTGAGAAATGGATGATTCCAGAAATGGGAAAAGAAGAGTAAAAATGAGCCTAAAATAACGTGATCCAGAAAAGCAAGTGACCAAAGAATTATGAAGCTATGTCATAATGACTCAGAAGCCACCTGGAAGGGGCACACACTAGCCAAGTTGGGAAAAGTTAGTGAATCAAAATAAATAATGATAATGAAAGATTATACCCTTCTGTACAAATAGAAAACTATGAATTCATTCAGGTATTTTAAAAATCAATAGAAGAAAGTTTGGTAAATAGGATATTTGTATAATTTTAAAGGATTTATCTGCCAATACTTACTAACTGCAGAGGTACAAAGAGTAGCTTTGCCATGGAAGCAACAGGTACACACATCCTGGCTCAAGTGGTCAAAGTGAATCAACGTCATCAATATAAGACAAAATGGAATCCTATGCACCTGATAGAAAGAACTACATGATATTCCTGCTAAAGGCACATAACTTCAATTTAACTGTGAGTAAACAAAAAAATACACAAATCTATGAACACTCTGCAAAGTAACTGGTTTGTGACCTTTAAAGATTCAAAGTCAGGAAAGTCAAAGAAAAACTGAGAATTCCAGACTAAAAAACTAAGAAATATCACAATGCATGCAATGCATGATTCAAAACTGGAATCATTGGCCATAAATGAAGTTGTCAGGACAATTGGCTAATTAAGAGCTAAGAATTAAAAGATAGCGATGCCTTAGAGTTAATTTCCTGATTTTGATGGTTGTATTTTGGTTCTGTAGGACAGTGTCCTTTTCTGTAGGAAATGCGTACTAAAAATTTACAGATGATGGAAATCAGGTTGGTACATTACACATCAATCCAGGCAAAGTTATTTGTAATGTACTTGTAACTTTTGATAAGTATATGACTACTTCAAAAAATTTTAAATGTATAACTACATTTTATTTATTAATTCTCATCCTACATTTAGTCATTTTAGGCTGGGCCATATTGAAAACTCAGGTAATGTTACATGTTCATGGAAGTTACTTGCCAGCACATTCTTAATGCTGAATAATGTAAAACCAGACTGACAGCCTGGGAAAGAACATCATAGCCACCCTTTCTTGTAATTATGCTTTTCCAAGAATGTTGGCTAAATAAAATACATTGAAATTTATGTTACTTGAAAAGCAAAACACATTATAAACAGGAATTTTGGAGGTAAATTTTCATCAAAATGCTTAGAATGGAACCAATATAGTGAAAATGGCCATACTTCCAAAACTGCTATATAGATTTAATGCAATGCCGATTGAAATTCCAACAATATACTTCACAGAACTAGAGAAAACAATCCAAAAATTTATTTGGAACCAGAAGAGACCTAGAATAGCAAAAGCAATTCTAGGCAACAGAGACATGGCTAGGGGTATCACAATCCACTTGAAACTATACTACAAAGCTACTGTGATAAAAAAACAGCATGGTACTAGCAAAGAAACGACCCGAGGATCAGTGGAATAGATTAGAAGATGCAGAAACAACTCCAGACATACTCAGCCACCTCATCTTTGACAAAGGAGCCACCCATCCTCATTGGAGGAAAGATAGCCTATTTAATAAATGGTGTTGGAAAAACTAGAGTTCAACCTGCCAAAGATTAAAACTAGACCCATGCCTATTACCATGCACTAAACTAAGATTGAAGTGGATTAAAGATCTAAATATTAAGACAGAAATACTAAACTTGCTGGAAGATAAGTTAGGTAGAACTCTTGAAGACATTGGCATAGGAAAAGACTTTATGAACAAAACCTCAGTAGCACGAGAACTAGCAGAAAGAATCAACAACTGGGATCTCATCTTATTAAAAAGCTTCTGCACTGCAAGAGAAACCACCAACAGAGCTGAGACAACCTACAATGTGGGAAAAAAATTTTAGCAGCTGTACCTTAGACAATGGACTACTATCTAGAATATATAAAGAATTGAAAAAAATCAGACCCCCCAAATTCAAAGACCCAATTCAAAAACGGGCATCTGAAATGAACAGACATTTCTCAGACAAAGAATTAAAAGCAGCAAATAAATATATGAAAAAATATTCAACATCACTGGTCATTTGAGAAATGCAGATGAAAACAGCACTGAGATTCCACCTCACCCCAGAAATAATGGCTGCTATCAAGAAATCAACCAATAACAAATGCCGATGGGCTGTGGGGAGAAAGGAACCCTTCTCCATTGCTGGTGGGAGTGCAGACTGGTGCAACCACTGTGGAAGTCAGTATGGAGATACCTCAAAGAACTAGGCCTAGAGGTCCCATTTGACCCAGCTATTCCTCTTCTGGGTATCTTCCCAAAAGAATTAAAAGAATCATACCACAGTGATATATGTGCATCCATGTTCATAGAGGCACAGTTCGTAATAGCTAAAGCTTGGAAACAGCCCAAGTGCCCATCAACTGGAAACTGGATAAAGAAGATGTGGGGTTTTTTATAAAATGGAGTACTACTCAGCCATAAAGAATGAGAAACTAGAGACATTTATAGCTAAATGGATGGATATTGAGGCGATACTCTTAAGTGAAATAAATAGGACACACGTGTAAATACTGAATAGTTTCTCTAGTGTGAGAAACTGGAAGTGTAAATAAGAATTAAAATGATTAAAATGAATAATTGATAATTTGAAATAGGAAGGAAAGGTCCAAAGGAGTAGGGGTGGTGGGAGGAGAAGGGGAAAGGAAAGGAGGGAAAGGAAAAATTATGAGAAAAGAAAACAAAATGGAAACAGAGTCTGTGTAAATAGGGAAGGGTGGAGGAGGTGAAGGGCGCACAGGTATTGGGGAAAAAAATAAGAACCAAGATACATCATGTACAGGTACAAGCACCCAATGATAAATGTAAATGTATTGTTTACCTAAAATGTACCAATAAAAGAATTTAAGGAAAACAACAAAAAGATGCTTAGCATGTACTTCTCTTCCCTTCCTTAAAGGTATCTACCACTTCTAACAATCTTCCTGACCCCTTTTCTAGTTCCCCCTAGAATCTTGGGGTTAACAACTAAAATGATGGTTTTGTGTGACCATGCCTGCCAATACAGAACACAGGCCAATGAAAATGGTGTTCTCTTCCTGGAAGAAACTATAAACTTCATGTTCACACCCACTTAGTAAGTGAAGATGTCATAAACTTGTTTAATGTACTTGCTGCCTCAGCATCCATTTTTAGACCCGACATGAGTTATTTAAACCCAGTGGTACCCTGCCTCCTCTGGCCTAGTTAAAACTTCTTTGTGCAATGGTTGGTGAGGTAGCCTGCTTGTTTCACATCTCGCTAACCCAAACCCAGCATATCCCACAGCTGCTGAGGATGACAAACTTAACGGTCTACACCGGAATCCTATAAGTAATTTCCTCCCATAGCACATGTTTTCCTTAAACTAGCCAATCCACAAGTCCTGGGGGAGGTCTATTCTATGAAAGCCCAGAGCCTCAACCTATGTGTAGCAGCCTGGGTCATCTTGGGCTCTTTGGTGCCGGTCGATCTCCCCGCTGTCTCTGGACTGTCTGTCAGCCGTTGTGGACACCCCTCTTCTCTCATGGACCCGTGAGTGACAAAATTCTTCTGCCATTTCATATGTTACATTGTGCTGCACCCTCTGTGTGTCACCTGACTGTAATGGCCAAACCCAATTCTCCCAGTGGGACCTCTCCTAGAGGGTGGCTATTTTGGTAAGGAAAAAACTGAGCGGAGATCAGACAAGAACCCTCGAGCTTCTGTCAGCCTAAACATGCTTGGGATTGTGGGCATAGCACTTGCCCAGCATGTGTGAGGCCTGAGGTTCAATCCCCAGTTACACACACACATAAACATAGATTCACACACGTACACACACCACATGTGTTAACACATGCCTGTAATCCCAGTGCTCTGGGAGGCTGAGGAGGGTATATCAAGTTCAAGCCCAGCCTGGGCAAGTTTAGTGATGTAGCAAGACCCTATCTCAAAATTAAAATTAAAAATGGGCTGGGGATGTAGCTCAGTGTGAAGGCCCCTAGCTAGGTTCAGTACCCAGTACTGAAAACAAAAGAAAAACCTCCAGTTGTAGGGACACCTTATCATAGGTCAACACTTAGGCATTAAGCTGCTGTCTGCCAGTGTAAAGAAGTATCCTACACAAGGACCACTTCTCCCAGAGCCCCAGCAGGCAGTGTTCACAGCCTCTCCAGAGACAGACTTCAAGGTCAGCGTGAATACAGTCACAACATAAGGGTGCATCTGATGGTGCTGAAAGAGGTGGTGGTGGTCACTGCCTAACCTGAGAAGATGGGTAGAAATTAAAGCTTTATCTTGGTAACTACCCCTCAAGGTCAGTCACTCTGGGGAACTCCATGCCCTCCAGCAGTCAGAGCTCATCCACAATTGTGCTGTCCTGGAGAACACTGTGGCTTTGGCCAGTCCATGGTTCACATCCTGGCTTTGTTTTTTGTTCATTTGTTGGTCTTTCGTTTTTTTCCTCATTACATTCTACTTAATCTTTCTTTGACTGTGGTAGACACTGCTTATTGCCTCCCAACATAAATTTACTGCTTTTTTCTTATTAACAGAACCTCAGTTTCTTCAGCTACACCTCATCTAACCTTCCTGCCTCCAGGCTTATTATGTGCAAAAAATGAATGCATTTCTTGTGAAAGCCACTGTATAGTGGACCCTTGACTTATGAGCTTGATCATTTCCCAAGGGCTGATTATAATAAGTCAATACAGCTGAGATCAGGATGTTTACCTGGGTAGATGCTATAGATAACAAGAGGCAGATGAACCTAGTTAACCCAAATTGTATGTCAGGCCAATCGTAACTTGAGGGTCCACTGTAGTCATATTGCAGTCCCTTACTATGACAGTGATGACTAATACATCATAACAAAAGGGGCTGGGGTTACTTATGCCTGCTTAAAGAGTGGAGGAAAAGTTTGGGTCAAAGTGTTGCCATGAATGAGGGGGGTTCCAGATGGGTTTCTAGGTTCTTGTACATAACAAACAAAAATTGGTCGTGGCACACAATGGTAAGGAAAAAGCAGCAAAGTTTTAATCGGGTGATGGTGGGCTTGCAGTAGGCGGGCTTGTGCCAGTGGAAAAGAAAATGGCACAAGTGCTGAAGGTGTTGCGTTTAAGAATTTAAAATGTTGCACCAATACTAGAGCACCTCTCATTGTGGCTTCCAGAGCATGACTGCCAACATCATTGACGTGGTGCTGGGTCATGTCAGCTATATCTACTGTGCTTGTCGTTCCCATAATTCACTCTGTTATAATTGTATGTATAAGATGCAGTCCATATACATGAACCTTCCATGAGCTCCAGTTGAAAAAAGATTACAATATAGGTCTTACTGGAGAACTTGGTTTGGGACTTTGGAATTTTTCAAGGTGGGCTCAAGAGTCTGTTTCTCTTATCTCTGCCTCCAGGTAGTAAGCCATAGGACAAAGGCTGAGGGGTTGGCATGGGCATTGCCCAGGTACAGGTAAGTGGAGGGGAGTGGTCCATAGCCCCACTTGTACTGTCTATATTAAATGGACACTATGTGGAGTGTTGCTGCATGGTAGAAGAGCGAGTTCAAAATATGTGCTTTCCCTTTTGCTTTCCTCATCTGACTTCACCTGATCACCTGCTTTATTTTCTCCCAGTTCATATTTAATGAAGCAAGCTGGGTAAAGTCATCACCTGTGTGTGTGGCCAACAACCTGCAGGTGTGGCCAGCACAAAGGGGACTCCACGTGGTATAACGTTAGGGGATGAAGGGTTATGTATGGTGGTAGGGGTTGGAGGAAGGCAGATATCTGTTGAAGGGACCTGCAGTCCCTTAGCTACCAGCTTCCTGCAAGTGGGCATTATGACAAGGAAGATCTCACCACCTAGATTTCTAGATGTTGCTGATGAAGTCTGAACTGTCAATGACCACATCTCTAGCATTTTATAAGGCAAAACTATCCATATTAATAAAGTAGTGAGCCAATGATCTAAAATCCATATGTGTAATAAAGTGCAGTTATAGATTTCATGCTGATTATTGATTGATCAAGTTTGATTAAGTGGGTAAGAAAGGTGATATTTAACACACGATATTCATCAGCTGTGACATCTTTATCAGGCAGGATCAATCTCAATTCTAATTCCAGATTTAGTTCACTGATGGTGGATCTCACATTTAACTGCTGCAGTTGCCTTGGAAGATTGCTTTTGTAGAACTTCATTACCCAGAATTGAGTCCCAGCAAACAGGAGTTCATACCTTTCTCCACAGGTCTCAAGGACCTCTCTTTAGTAGTCTCCAAGAAGTGCCACTGGGGTTGTATGACACAACCATAATGGTGGTTATTAGCTTCATAGGTCAGTTCTTCCTGAACTTAGACAAAGTGCAGCTACCCAACATATTCATCCTAAAATAGATTCTTCAAAAGCCACAGCAGAAACTCAAAGCAAAGTGCTTTTAATCAGGATTATTTTATTCTGAGTGATAAAAAATGGAGCCTAGGCTGGCCATTAGAATTTATCAGCTCACATGGCTGGAAAGTCTAGGATTGGCTGGTATCACACATGGCTGAACTTGGGGCATAATGATAATTCTAGAATTAAGTTTCTTTTCAATTTTTGGCTCTGTTTTCTCAGACTTCTTAAGATGGTTCCTGGCAGCTACTTGTTCTCCTCTCAAGGTAGCAGAGCATCTATAGCAAGTCCTGGGTTTGAGTACAGATAAAAGTTCTTCTCTCTAGTCTTCCTCAAAGACCAGAGACTCACTGTCCACTTTGGTCCATCCATTATTCCAGTCACTGTGATCAAAAGGTGACTTTCTGTGATTACAGTGCTGCAATTATATGGCCATGTGTTTAAGTACATGGTCCGTCCCTGGAGACTTTGGTGGAAATGATTAGTAGGAAGAGAAGGGTCCCAGTGGGAAAAGGCGGGGAGGGGGGGACAGATACTTCGAAAGTAAGTAGCAAAATGTCCACCCTTACATGGTCCCAAGTACTTAAATAAATCTCATCTGAGACTCTTAATCTATTTTCACTTTGGTGTAATTTTTGAAAATTAATTATTTTAATAAGCTCATGCCAGTTCAGCAATAGAAAATAATTTCTTATTGTCAGTTACTCAGTATTTTTTCACTTGGAATCTCAATACTGGTTTACATTTCAATTAGTAAACTTTTATTTTCCCATGTACATTTAATAATTTTGCCCATATATCTTCTCTGTTAGGAACTATAGTCTGATCAGGAGTGCAGCAAATTTGATCTCTCAGAGCCTGTTAAACTTCCAAAAGTTTAACTTTGCTGAGCAAGCAGCTCAGCAGATTGCTTTAATCAGTCCCCATGTTCTGACCTCTGGAATTATTTGAATTAACTCAACCTCTATAACTTACTTCAGGTTTTTCCATAAACCTCTCAAACTCCACACCAAGCGATCAAGAGACTCTATTTGGCTATGAATGCAAAGTAAAAAAATGTAAGCCATTTCCTAAAATTATAGGCTTTACCCCACCCACTGTTGAATATTGTCATTCAAGATTTCCTAGTTCAGGCATTCACCAGTGCAAGTGAGCTCCCTCCAGATTTCCCTATCTCAAGTCTCTCTCATTTCTTTTAAATGAGGCTCAGATCTTTTAAGTCTACCAAAAGAGAGTCTAGCCTTCAAAAGAATGGAGCTGATTTATTTAAACAATTTCCCTTTTATGCTTTCTGGTATTTGCTGCTGTCTAAATATCACATTAAGGTTTCTCGAGTTTACTCTACCTTTAAGTATTTAATATAGTTATAGCTGTAGTGATGTCAAAATTCCAAATTCTGTGCCAAGTTATTACTACTGTCAGAAAGCCTGCTTGCTCTGCCCATAATAAATGTCATTTTCTGTCTTCCTAGCTCTGATATTTGCAACAATTTTAGTAATATTAATTGAATTTAGGCTAATATTTAGTGATATTTCAAGTCCTTAGAAATAGATTCAGCTGAGTGCCCAGTATTTTTCTAATGATTCACAATTACACATGTATCATTAGGTCTTCTATACAGCCTTCTGCCTCTCCTAAAATGATAAACTTAGAAAATCTTCAATTTTTCTTAAAACAAATTTCAAGGGGGTTCTGGGATATAGATTGTTAGAGCAGTTAAATTATCTGCTGAGGGTTCAACACTGATTATCAGTAACAGTTTACAGTTTCTTCCTCTGGGCCTAATCTTCCATTTTCATTCCCAGTGGAGAATTTGACTTAGAAAAAAATCAGAAATCAGGATGTCAGTATTGGAAGCAAGTTTAGAAAACACATTAAATACTTTGAGAGTCTAGATTTATACTCAAGAATCCAGAGAAACATATGACCATTCTCCCTAAGAACATGTACTTGAAAACATGTACACAGAACTTTCTGGATCCTAGAAAAGTAATTTCATTTTGGGGGTCTTAGAGGGCAAAGTGACTTGCTCAAGTCTATACTACAAGTTACTGCAGTTAGGACTCCATCCAGAAGTACAGGAGGACTTTAGTACCCCCAGAATTCATTATCTGAGAGCTTGCCACTGTTGTTTGAGACCTGGGCTGCTAAAAGTATGACATCTAGTGAGCCAAACAGTCATAAAATGATTTCTCCTTAAAATATTCATTAGTATTGATTCCTTCCAATTACATTAATATCTTTGTTTAGACTCCAGGATTATCAGTTGTTTGAAATATCCAGCAATGCACTGTTATACAATGCAAACTGATTACAACATTACTATGTTTTAGATCTAAAATGTACCCCTAAATTCTCATGTGTGAAAAGTGTTGGATCATGGGGGCTATACTCATCACTGGACTGATCCATTGGTGAGTTCATTAGCTGAATGTGCTGTTAGGAGGTGGGGCCTGGTTGGAGGTGGGTCACTGGGGATGTGACCTGGAAGGTTGTATTATTGTCCCCAGCTTCTCCCTTCTCTACTTCTAGACTGCCGTGACTAAACAGCTTTCCCTCAGCCTAGGCCTTTCTACCATGATGTTTCTGACTTGGAGCCAGCCAACAGTGGGCTAAAACCATAAGTCAAAATAAATCTCTACTCCTCTAATTTGTGGGTGTTAGGTGTTTTGTCACAGAAAAGTAAGAGTGAAAATGTAAATCTTGTGAAAGATGTAGTACTTCATGAAGTTGATAGAAGTGATAGTATATCACTGCTCCAAATCACACATGTGGAGACTTTGATATGTGGGATACTGCTAGGGTCAGACCAATAACAGCTCATAGGACACAATAACAGTTCATGGAGACTGAGGTAAGCCCCTCAAAAGAATATTTGGGTATGAAAAAGTTTAAGAGAATTCCTTGATGAATTCCCGAGACAAACTTAAGTGATCCTTTTTGTGGTCATGTTGCAAAACTCAAGCATCAGGTGATAAAAGTTTCTTCAAGTTTATACTGCAGTACAATTTTGTCAGAAAGTTAATACCAAAGTTAACACCAAAAGTTAATACTACATGGTTTTTAATTTCCTTGAATCCTATCAAATTTTTTTTGTTTTCCCCATTTACCATGAAACTCTGGTTCCTATTTTAAGTGGGTGTGCCTTAAGTAGCATTCTTTTTCTTTAACCCATTACTCTTTGATAATGAATGTGTCCTATATTTCATATTAATTTCAAGAAGCTAGCTGTTGATCATTAATTATGTACTTCTGATTCCAAATTGCAAAGTTCCTAGAGGATTATCATTTAACAAATCTCTCTCCTCGGTTTTTTTTGGTCAGATTTGTAGATATGTGTCCATGGTGACCCCTGGGGAATAGAATTGTTGTGCTACAGATTGAGTAAATTTTGATTAACCAAGAAGAACTTTTCAGAACTTCATGTACAGAGTAACTCAATATTGTTTTGAAAAGTGCGAATGTCATTGAAACCAAAGGGCATGGACACGAAATAGATGAATTTGGGTTATTTATTGCATGCCTCTTACAGATAGAATTTTATAAAATCTTACATGGCTTGAATAATTTGTGACTACACATGCTTTTGTTTCTAGACATTTTAATTGTTAATGACCCTGTAGCATAAGACAACAGCCAAGCCATTTTTATACTGTTTGGTAATCTGGAATGAATTATCAAATTAACCTTTTTTTTTTTTTTTCAGTACTGGGAATCAAACTGAGAACCTTTTCCTTGCCAGGCAGGCAAGACACCACTGCAAATTAACCTTTATAACTATATTTTTTGAGTTTGTCCAGCAGAAGGGAGTTATTGTCCATTTGAACTGTGGAATAATGAGCAGTATCTCACTGGGACTTTATGGTGACAATCAAATTCAGGGACTAAGACTTAGACATGTCACCTGTTCAGTTACCCTTCCATGCTTCTTGCCTCAATATTTTTTAATGCTTAGTACCAATGGTAACATAGGCTTGTTGGTAGGGTTACCATATAGCTTAGCACCCAAACTGGGGCAGTTTGGGGGGGGGCATTCTTCTAATAATTACGTTGTGATAACAGCTGTAAACAAGGATTG